GTTTATAACTATGACTGACAAGGATGGTTGAATGGTGATAATCAGGTAATAAGGAGGTGTGGACATCTGCATTTAATTTAGTTTTTTTACACCTCACAATTACATTTTTGCTAAATATAAGTAAGCATGATATGTAAAATCCAGGGCAGGGCAGGTAAGCCTACACTTTAATGATCATTAGAGAGATTCTAACAAACCTGCAGTTATTTAACTGTAATCCGGATTTGAGATTGAGCTCAAGTAACTCTTTTTACTTTCGTTCTATTTTGGGGGCTGATCATTACTACAGCCATTGCTGTCACCCAGGAGTACTGGCAGTCTGATCGCGGGGGTTCATTTTGTATTTGTTTTTGTATTACACAGTCATGTTACAAGGCTGCCACATACCTCATGTGGTCCCTATTAAGGGTTAATAAGTGTTTAGTGGTTTAAAGAAATACCCCTTTCTCTCTTGCACAGGTATCATTTTTGGGGGGGCTGTACTATATATTCAGGCTGATGAAATACTATAGCTACCTTCCAAAAGTAATGGGCATTTGACCCCAGGACTTAATTTTGCCTAGTTAAAGAATTTTTACAGTTTATCTTTTTTTGGCCTTAGATTTGATATCCTGTAGCCAAATCAAAACATCTTCATTTTCAATGAATGACCCTATTAGTTCCTGACCATGTGCATCCCCTTATGGTTATTTTCAACTTCACGCAAAACATACATCATCTTATACCTGCACTGTCCCATAGAGCACCTTTGGGATGAGAAGCCAAACAGTATGCAGGGATTTCGAGATGGTGTTATGTCAACATGTGTTGATTCTAAGCAGTGCAGAATTTCATGCCGCCCAACCATCCCGATTTAGGCAGGACAGTCCTGATTTTTGGTTCCTGTCCGACCATCCCAACTTTGTTCCCTAGTGTCCTCAAAAACTGACCACAAAAAGCATAGTACAAGAGCATCATGGTGTGCACTGAAAGAGTTCTCCCTGCATGTCTTGGCCTCATTGGGCTGACTTGTAGGATTGATAGGCAGCCTGGCATAAATTCACACCAGACTGACCTGTTAATTCTTTGGGTGGGTCTGCCCTCCTCTCCGCTTCAGACACTGCTCTGGCTGCCCTGCTAGTTATATAATGGGTCTCACTCTCCCAAACAATTCACATGCAATATCCGTTCAGGAGTAAGAAAAAAATTATATTGTTAATAGGCAGAAGCCACAGTGACTTCCACTGACCTCATACAGGAACTGGTGCTGCAATAGGATTTAAGACCCCAGACGTTAACAAGAGTTAATATTGAGGTTTAATGACTACTGCATATTCTTGGAAGCAGACAGATGTGAGAAAAAATGTCTGCAAATGGCTTTTAACGTCAATGGGTTTGTTTTACTCAAAGCGGCTGTTTATTACACAATATTATTCTTTCAATTTACGCTTTGTGCTTGATGACACACAATTACAGGAACATTTTCTTAACTTTAAGTAGAAATGTGTCAAATATTTATCACCAAGTGTTTTACCTTATTTAAGATTTATTACTGAGCGTGTATAACAGGAACATATCTGCAAAGCTATTTTTTTGTTTGATATCATTACATGGTCCAGATCCAAATGATGAACAATAAATGTAATGTGATCAATTAAAAATCTGAAAAAAAAAAGTTTGTGATAACATGTTGTTTTGCTTTTGAGTAATGAGTTATGCAATCCAAGTTTCTGTATTCCAGGCAGAGTTTTTTTTTTTTTTATTATGTGTGGACATTTTCCCAAACTGACAGTATGTTGACATTCTGTTCTTTATTTTTCACGTAAAATGACACAGAAATACAAACACAATTGATGTTCCTATGACTGTAAGTGGTTGTGATGCAAATAATATTTCTTCTTTTTTTTTAGCCACTAAAAAAAGTTTCCATTGTATCTGTACCATTAACGTGAACAGTAATGCAGCTGAATTGATCATTTGGCCATTAAAAATGGAAACAGATTAGCTTAGGAAATCTCAGAACAGATAAACATTTGAGAAGGTGATAATTTCTCTATAGTACATTTTTTAAGTGTTCCAACTTCTCAAGCCTATTATAAAGATAGACCCAGCCATTTTCACAGTAATAGGCAAAATCACAACTAAAGGGACACTATAGGCACCATAACAACTTTATCTTAATGTGTTTGATGTATTCTCTGCCATTTAGAGGGTTTAATCCCTTGGTTTATACAGCCTTAGTCACACCTACCTATTTGTGATTTGCACAACCTTCCAAAATATTTCCTGTAAAGAGAGATTTTTTGTTTCAACTTTCTTTATTGCACAGTCTGTTTTTCTGGAAGTGCATACTCATCCGAGCAATGTTCTATCTTCTTCTCCTCTTTTTTTACCTTTTCTCCCTCAGCACCAATTCTTTCTCTCCTACTCCCATTTGATCTCAACCTAGACCCCATCTATATAAAACCTACTCACACCTCCTGTCACTATCTCTCCTCCTGCTTCTAGCAGCTGTTGATGTCTATCCCAATCCAGTGCTCATCACCTTCTCTGCTCATACTAAGACACAACCAGAAACCACACAATTCTCATATAACCCCACCCCAGTTCCCTGCTGTTTTTCCTCATCCACCAACATCCATTGTGCACTCTGGTACGCCCGCTCCATCTGCAGCAATATGAAATCAACAGCCATACACAACCTCTTCATCTCAAATTCTCTCAAACTGCTTGCACTCACTAAGACCTGACTGCCCCCCTCTGATAGTGCTACTCCTGCTTCTTTATTTTTCGATGGACCACAATTCTCCCACACTCTCAGACTCAATTGTAAAAGAGGTGGTGTACGTATCCTTCTCTCCTCTCACTGTACCTTTCAACCAATCTTCCCTGTACCTGCCCTATCTTTTCCTTCTTTTGAAGTTCATACTGTGCACCTATTTAAACCGACCCCTTTAAGAATTGCCATAATTTATCGTCGGGTCATCCTAGGCTATTCATTGAACACTTTTCTTCCTGGCTACCCCATTTCCTCTGCTCTAGCACTCCTTCCCCAATATTTGGGAACTTTAACATCCCATTCAACAACCACAACTGCCCTGATGAGTCTCATCTGCTCTCTGTAACCTCCTCCTTTGGCCTTATGCAATGTTCTAATTCAGCAACTTGTACCACAGGAAACACTATTGATCTCATCTGCATTGATTTCTGTACCACCTCTCATCTTTACAATGTTCTATTTCCTCTGTCTGACCATCATCTGCTGACCTTTGACTTCAGCATACCCCGAACCAAAATTTCACCACCCTCCGCACATCAATCTTGCAGAAACCTCCACTATCTTGACCAGCAGCAATTCTCCACCAACTCCCAAACTCTTCTTTTACCCATTTCAAACCTCACCTGCCCTAACTCTGCAACCTTTATCTCAATTTCACCCTCTCCTCTCAACTAGACATCGTTGAACCTCCTACATTTAAATGCAGCAAGCGCCCACAATTACAACCTTGTAACACAAAGCTGACCAAATAACACTGCTGGAGAAAGTCTCACTCTGCGTCTGACTTCCGCCACTATTAATGTATGGACCACTGCAAAAGAAAACTACTTCAATATCCTCATAACCACGCTTTCCTGCGACCCAAACACCTTTTTCCCACTTTTAACTCTCTTCTTTACCCTGTTGCTCCTCCTACCAACTTGACAGCCACAAACTTTGCAACTCACGTCAGTGAAAAAATATTAACAATCAAGGAATAGATCTCTCATCTCTCTCCTTATCCTACCAATAATTCCCTTGTATCTCATTCATACTCTATCTCCTTATCTTGCTCTCCCTCTCACTAAAATTTTCAATCTCTCAGTCTTTTCTGGCACATATCTTTCACCTTTCAAGCATGCAACCATAACACCAATTCTGAAAAAGCCCATTCTTGACTTTAACTCCCCATCCTACTACAGCCCAATGTCGCTTCTGCTGTTTGTCTCCAAGATCCTTGAAAGATTTGTGTATGCAAGATTGACAGACTTCCTTAAATCCAACACTCTGCTTGATCCTCTCCAGTCTGGTTTCCGTGCTCGTCACTCAGCCGAAACAGCTGTGACCAAAGTATTCAATGATCTAATCGCTGCAAATTCTCATGGTCACTATTCTACCCTAATTCTCCTTGACCTTTCTGCTGCTTTTGACACTGTCATCAACAGCTTCTTCTCATCCTCTGTAATCTCAGTGTATGAGATACTGTAGTCTTCTGGTACTCCTCCCACCTCTCCCAGCGCTCTTTTAGTGTTTCTTTGTTTGGCACGCCTCTTCTCCCAACCCCTCTCTGTTAATGCTCCCCAATGTTCTGTCTTTGGTCCCTACTGTTCCCCATCTATACTGCCTCTATTGGAAAACTCATCGGCTCCTTTGGCTTCCAATATCATTTCTATTCTGATGACACACAAATCTATCTGTCCTCTCCTGATCTATCGATACTCCTCTTGACTCCTGTCTCTGACAGCCTCTCTGCTATTTCCAACTGGAGGGTTACTTATTAAAAATTATCCTGTCCAAAACATAACTTCAGTGTCTGTCTCCCTCCAAGTCAATGGTGCCACTATTAGCTCTACCTCTCAGGCTTGTTGTCTAGGTTTTCCCTTTGACTTTGACCTCTCATTCACCCCCCAATCGCCAAATCCTGCTGCTTCCATCTTAAAAACATAGCGCACATCTGGCCCATTTAACACCAGACGAGGCTAAGGTGTTGGTCCGTGCTGCTATACTCTCTCACCTTGACTACTGCAATCCACTTCTAAGCGGTTTTATGTGTTCCAAACTTGCCTTGTTACAGTCTATGATTAGGTTCATCATCCTGTCCACCCTTACCTCCCACTCCTCCCCCCTCTGCCAGTCCCTAAATTGGCTTCCCATAAGATATAGGGCCCAAGTTAAGATATAGCTAAACTTATTTTGATGCCTGTAGTATGCATTTAAGTCATCCAATTACCTTTGCAATTCTAGCTTAATACAGGTGATTGCCGTAACAGAACTATGATTATGCCTATACTTTTGCCTGGACTTAATTAACAATGCTGCTGGATGTGTTAAACAGAAACCGAATGGCTAGTTTTCGTGTGAATATTGCTACTGTAACATACAGCCCAAAATACCGAACATCAGACCACCCAGGGGAACAGTTAATTGTTATTTTACCTCCCAGTGATCGTGGAGCCGTTCGCATGGTTCATACGAATCCCTTTGTGCTTAGGTTAGATGCCTGCCATTTCGGGACTTTACACGTGTTCGCGGCCATCTTACGCACGAACGGCGGTGTTTGCCTGTGAACGCATGGAACTAAAAACGGATACGCAAACAGGCGAACACCGCTGAGACCTCCAGGAGCTCGTAAGTTTGTGCTGCAACTACCAAACGACCGGCCGTTCGGTAGTTTTGTTTAAGCATTCATGGGGATTCAGGCGAACACCAGGATGACTGTGGATGTCAAGGGGTTTGTGGGGTTTTTATGCACGAACGGAGACCGACCGCAAGGCCAAAACTTATGGAACTCTTTTCGGCTGGAAAACCTGTGCGGTCGGTCAAAACTTCAAAGATCCATAACTCCCGAACCCCTCAACCGAATGGACTGAAATTTGGATATATTGTTCCCCTGAGTGAGAGCTATTAAGCAGTGATGGACTTAAAGGTGTACCCCCTGTTTTTGGGGTACATCCAGAATGTAGTTAAAATTGTGTCTGTTTTAATTGTGTTATATGTTTTCTGAGGGGAGGAGACGTGGGGGTTGAACCATGTATGTAATTGGCTGTTGTGATAATTATGTGGGTGTAGCCTTTCAGAGGGCACCATTGCATAAAAGGAGACCCCCTGTCAATAAACATCAGTTCTACTTGACCCTTCAAAACGTAGCCTCGTCTCGTTCTTGGAGGGGATTTATGGTACCGTTACTCTGCCTCATTTTACAGCACTCCTGGATTATACACTTGGATATCGTGGATGGGAATAAGAACTCCATTACTTCACAGCAGCTTGCCTAGAAAAGGACGTCTCCAACGGCAGATACCCCTCTCCAGCTGGGTAGCCGTTACAATTGCTTTGATGCTTCTGCATACCTTCCAACTCTAAAAATGTAGGAGGGACATATAGGAGGCTAGCCAGTGGCTTAATCGTGTCAATAGGGTTGACCCGTCTAGAAAGGCACACTGGTTTAGAACTCTCTGCAATGCCCTAGTGCCCTGAACATAGTGCAAGCATGTTTAATGATGTGCTCATGCTATGCTTGTTGTAGAACTAACTTGGAATGCAGGACAGGACATGAAAATCGGGACAGTTGGGATGCATGCTTCTGAACAATAAGATAGCCACTTATTATTGTGCTGAAAACACTAAACACATAACAAACTTCATCCTATCTACCTCATAATAGTTAACCTTTCCCACTGTTGTGGATTTCCATTCCTCACTGATGTTAAGCCAGCCAAAAAGTTGTCTGGAATTAGTGGTATGTGGATGACTAAACTGATGGTGTATATTTGTCACGATTCTGTTTACTCTCAGTCTGGTGCAGTAGCTCACCATGCCACTATCTGTCTGTGGTGCTGTTACAGGCTGCTGTACCTAGACTTTCTCTGCTCCCGGCTGGCCTTACTTTGCAATTATCTCCTCCCTATTTATTTGAGTCTCAACCCCTTCTTCTTTGGCAGTTCATTAATATTGTTTTTGGTCTGGTCCTGTTGTCCTGCATAATAGTCTGTGTTCCTAAGTGTGACGGAACCGCTGGCACCCCGACCGGGTACCTTCCGCCGACGGATGCTCCTAGTGCTTTCCGAGGACTCCAAGCACTCTGCCTGACACCATAACCACTGCAGACCCCACGAACCGCCGCAGCTTGGTTGGGGTCTCACCGTCTCCACCCACTCTGGACCCAGGACCAGGGTCCAGCTTCCAGCAGGTCTAACTCTCTCCAAATTCCAGAGAGCAGGAACAGGAACAAGCTCTTAGCAGAGCTTAGTGATTATACCCTGGGGAGTATAGTGATTATAGCAATCCCCAGAGTGTAGTTTCTCTAATCCCCCAAACATGAGCCGAAACTTCATGAAGGTACAAGATGATCTGCTTTTAATGACCACATACTGGCTTTTATGCAAGTCCCCATGCAAGGGGACATCCCACAGGGTGGGACACAGTACAACCAATCGCACAATGGTTACATCCCACACATCTTCTCCCCTTAGCCTGAGAGGTAACCCAATTATCTATACATTTTAAAACACACTTTTTACCCAACTTTCATAACTCTAAAACCATACATCCAATAGCAATAAAAGTCACATATTATTAATCAGCACATCCCAAATACAAACATACCCCAAAATCATGCAAATCCTTCCATTTGTTCAAAAGTTAGTTCGAAGTCCTTTGTAACCAAAGGAAGCATGGCTTTTCCTGCCCAAACCAGTTCCCACTGGTCTGGCAGTGTCCCTGGGACAACTCCCTGCTGGAGAACAATGGAGCTGGGGGAGGGGAAGAGGCACACCTTCCCATGAATTCAAAGGGACAGAAAAAGTGTCTCAAAAGTTTCAGTATGTCCATACACTGTTTTTAAAGGGCCAACACCGTACAATAAAAGTCCATAAGCCCAAATAATGTTTGTAAAGGGCCATATAACCCAGGGCCATAGTCATGAGGCAGGAGGCTGGCAATCAGGCTCCTCCAAAAGCCGAGGGCAAAGGGCAGCTTGTCACCTAACAATCCAGGGACAAAAGGCATTTTGTCACACTAAGCATGCTGCTTTCCTGGCTTCCTGGGCATGCTGCTTCCCCTATTTCCTGACATGGCTGCTTCCCTGAGTTCCTGAGCTAGCTGCCTTCCTGAGTTCCTTGCTCCCTGTATCCAGATTCCTTCCTTCACTTACATTGAGTTATCTGCCCTTGTATTTGATTATATTATGTTCCATGTAAATAACAATACACTTGCTTTTGCCTTGATTTATATGGATGCTGGTTTCTTTGCATTCTGGGTTCCAACCTCTAGAGGTTGCTGCTCTGGTCAGCGTCCCTTCCTGACTAGACCTGTGACAATATGTGTGTGGAAAGGAACTTGGCAGTGTGCTTGGTGTCTGTGTGGAAATAAGAAAGGATTTCTGCATATAAGTTCGTTATGTGTGTTAGGAGTAAGACTAAGTGATAAAGTGTGGTGGGCATATCTAAAAGTATCAAATTACACATACAACCGATGCTGATAACTTTGGAATATTCCTTTTTCTAACAAATGCAAGCAGACTCTACAAATGGTGAGATGAGTTGTTTAAATTATATTTAACTGAATGGAACTGACAACTTCTTCTCTTATCCTTTTATTCCTCCAGCCTCTCCGTTTATCCCAGTGGTCAGCAGCGCTGAGGGAGCCTTGGTTCTGAGTTTTGGGTCAAGGTAAGTAGAAAGGTTTTTTTTTTTTTGAAAGACAAATGGGGGAGAGGGGTGGGGATGGAAGCAAGAGACATAGTACTGCTAAGTATAGGCACACTGTAATTTTAGGAATACATATTTGTATATCAAGTAAAAAAAAATAATATATACAAAATACATTACATTAAGCAAACTATAATTCAGCTCCAGGCCCCCAAGCCCTTAATACAAAAATGCATTAAGTAAAGCATATTTAGTGAGTTTATGTCAAACCTTTAAAACTTTTCCCATATTTGACTGACCCATACAACCTGAAGGAAGTTAAATGGCACTAGAAAATGTCTTTAAGAAAAGAAATTCAATTTCATATATTTTTCAGAATTTCCCCATCATTGAGAAACATATTATAACAATCTGAACGAGTTAGCCACCACTAAAATGTCATCACGTCACGCTATGTCATATTAGCAAAGTGTAGGTCATCCTCAACCTACATTATCCTCAACCAATATTTTAAGTATAAAGGACATAATCCCAATTGAAATGTGACATTCTGTCATACCTCCTCCCGGTCCGCGCTGCTCCGGTCCCGCCATCCGTCCTGTCCTACCACGCTGTACAGACGCCCATCAGACATCGCGCGCGCCCGGGTGCACGCGCATGCACGCGCTATTCCTAGCTAGGGGGCATGCGACTTGTTTCTTAACCCTTGGCTTTGTTATTCGCTTTTTCTTCCATCTCCTATCCTGACCTTGGCTTGTCTGACCTTTCAATTCTCATCCTTGTACCTTTTCACATTAAGTCCGGCCATTTGAAGGACCGGTAATACGTCTGGCTTTGTGTGCCTTTTGAGCCCCTTAGTTTGCGTGTTGGGGAGCTTAACCTTGGCACATACATTTGTGACAAACAGCATACTTAGAAAAATAAAGTTCTATTTTATAATGATATTTTTTTTTTAATGTAACATCCTTCCTTAAATGTAACTTCAGAACTTCAGATTGGTACATATAACTTTGATATCTGAAACACAGAGACACTGGCTATCAGCTGTTACTTACATATACTCGTGTATATGTCGATCTCATGTATAAGTAGAGTGTAGTTTTGTGACCAACAATTGTGAAATATGCTATGCCTCGTGGATAAGTCGAGGGTAAAACTTGGGGCTATGAAATTCTGTGATTTTTATAATTATATACACACACTCATACAAACACACACACTGCATTATATACACACACACTCTTACAAATACGCACTCTGCATTATACACACACACTCATACAAACAATCTGCATTATACACACACACTCATAAAAACACACACTCTGCATTATATACACACACACTCTGCATTATACATGCACACTCTGTGTGTATATATAATGCAGAGTGTGTGTGTGTATATAATGCAGAGTTTGTATGAGTGTGTGTGTGTGTATAATGCAGAGTGTGTGTGTGCATGAGTGTGTGTATATAATGCAGAGTGTGTGTGTATAATGCAGATTGTTTGTATGAGTGTGTGTATATAATGCAGAGTGTGTGTGTGTGTGTGTGTGTGTGTGTGTGTGTGTGTGTGTGTGTGTGTGTGTGTGTGTGTGTGTGTGAACTGGGTGGGGGAGGGCATTTTTATTAATTTTAATTTTTAATTTGAAATTTTTTTATTTTATTTTTTTTATTTTTTTATTTTAGTATTTTTTATTTTATTTTTTAATTTTAATATATTTTTTTAATTTTAATATTTTTTTTTTTTAATTGTATAATTATTTTAATTTTTATTTAGATTTTTTCATCCCCCCTCCCTGCTTGATACATGGCCAGGGAGGGGGACTCTCATTCCCTGGTGGTCCAGTGGATGGGCTGTGTAGGAGGGGGGCTGGCAGAAAGTTGTTACTTACCTTTCCTGCAGCTCCTGTCAGCTCCCTTCTCTCTCCTCCAATCCGGTCAGCTCCCCTGTCAGCTCCACTATAAGTCTCGTGGTGTGACTGGTGCGCGGTGACCCCGCAGCTCTCGCGATATTTACAGTGGAGCTGACAGGGGAGCTGACCGGAGGAGAGAGAAGGGAGCTGACAGGAGCTGCAGGAAAGGTAAGTAAACGCTCCCTGCCAGCCCCCAACAGGACCGCCATGCTTGTAATGAGCCCGGCGGTCCTGGTCTGTATTATGGCAATGTAAGTTGCCATAATACAGACATTGACTTGAATATAAGTCAAGTGGGTGTTTTTCAGCACAAAAAATGTGCTGAAAAACTCGACTTATACTCGAGTATATACGATAAGATCATTATGAAATGTTATTACAATTTCACATCAACCGTGTCTATAATGTATTGGCTAGATAATATGGTCATTACAAAATCAGTCTTATTTATTGAAGACCAAGCTCTTTTTAACTTACTAATGACACATGTGACAATGCTGGAATGTATCTCTCCTGCGACACACATTTGTCCTCTGCATAAATCCCACATTAAAGGTTAATATTCTGTGACGTAGAATAGATATAAAAAGAAAATCCCAGGAGCAGCAGGAGATGTTGTAGATTAAGGTCCATTTAGGGCATTTTAATGCTCAATTTGAACTGGCACAAAATAATAGAATGTTTACTAAAACCATGTTTACTCCAAAGACATGGAAAGTAAGCTGAACTTAATGACTTCAATTCCATGCTCCAAATTTTTAATAAC